TTTACCTTTCTTGCTTTCTTTGTATTAATCAATAATTTTTATTATTTGATTTTTCTCTTATTAACTTCTTAAGTATACATTTTTTATTATTCTTGTAGTGGTTACCCCAGAAATATCAACAAGTATACTGACCTAATTAATGTCTACTTTTAGTTGATAATTTTAGCACTTTCTTAACAAAAAAAATACCTTAAAGCATTTTAATTCCATTTGACTTCCTCCTATATTTTGTCCTATTGTTATCATTTCTTTTAATTCTACATATGTTACATGCACATTATTATTATAAGAAATAAATGGGGTGCCTGGGTGGCTGAGTTGATTAATCAACCAACTCTTGGTTTGGGCTCAGGTCATGATCTCATGGGTCATGATATCAAAACCCAGGTTGGGCTGTGCACTCAGCAAGGAGGATACTTGAAAATTCTCTTCCTCTGCCCCTTCCCACACTGGTGTGTGCTCAAACACTCTCTAAAATAAATAAATAAATCTTTTTAAAAAAGAAATAAATAATTTAAAGTTTGTCAAAATATTTACCCTTTATGTGTTTTTCATTGTATCCTACACTTCTGCATTTCCATTTTGCATCTTTTTCCTTCTGCCTGAGGGGAAAAAGAATTTGCAGGCCTACTGAATGCAAATTATCTCAGCTTTTATGTCTCTGCAAATGTCTGTTTGTTTGGGTTTTTTACGTTCATTGTTAAAGGCTAATTTCCCTGTGAATAGAATTCAAGTCTTTCCATTATTTTTTTTCCCAGCAAAATGCCTTTCCATTGTTTTTAACTTTCACCATTTCCATGGCTATTTCTTAAAAGATAATGTATGTTTACCCAAAAAATATTTTTTTAAATGACCCATTTGTCTTTAGTTTTCAGCAAGTATACTACAATGTGACTGAGTGTAGTTCTCTGTATATTTAGCCTACATAATTTCATCAGGCTTCTTGAAACTGTTGACTTGTTATCTTTTGTTTTAGAAGAACATTGGTGTTTAAAATTTCTTCAAATATTCCCCTGTCCTATTTTCTTTGTCATCTTCCAATTACATGTAGATATTTTTGTCATGTCCCTGTCTTTTACTCTCTTTTTCTGTGTTTTCCATCTTTTTTCCCCCGATGTGCTTCTCTCTGGGTAATTTTTAATAACCTATCTTTCAGGACTCTGATTCTCCCTTCTGCCATATTCTAATCTATGATTGAATCAGTCCACTCAATTCCTAAATGGAATGATCTTCTTAGGTCTAAGAAAAACATAGTAATTACTTCTTATCTGGTGAAAATTTTTATCATTTCATATATTACCTTAAATATGTTAATTCTAATTATTTTAAAGTCTGTGTTTTATAACTTCAAAATTTTAAACATAGCTTCTTTGGTTATCTTTTTTTTTCTCTTGGTTTTTGTGGCATGCTTGGACATCTTTTATTGACTGATGTTGTGAGTGAAAAATTGTAGAGGGTTGGGATCATTTTATATTTTTCCAGAGAAGGTTTGATTTGTTTTTAGGAGGCAGAAAGAATACAGCAGATCAGTCTAGGATGGTCCATTGCTTCTAGGGCATAGCTTTTTAGGAGTACAAAATTAAAACCAGGGGTATTGGGGCACCTGGGTTGCTCAGTCAGTTAAGCATCTGACTCTTGGTTTTGGCTCAGGTCATGATCTCAGGGTCGTGAGATCAAGCCCTCATCACAGAGTCTGCTTGTCCCTCTCCCTCTGCTCTCTCTCCCTCTTTCTTGCTCGCTCTCTCTCTCTTTTTAAAAATAAATAAATAAATAAAATCTTTAAAAAAAAATAAAACCAGGGGTATTTATCAGGGGCTTTTTTCTGTGATGGGCCCTAAAGTCTTCTTTTTGTTTCTCTGGTACATTGAAGTGGCCAAAATCTCTGATTAGCTTTTTAAGTCTTAATAGCTGCTTTCTCCTTGTCTTCCTAGTACCCTCTCCCTATGTGTTTCAGTTCTAAGTTAGCAAGTACCTCAATGAAATGGCTGGCAGAATCTTCATCTCACTATTCTGCACCTGCCTTCTTTCAAGTATCCTGGCCTTCTAGTGCTGGTTGTCTTGGTGGTCTTAACTTCCAATCTTTGTCTTCCCAGTCCAGTGAGACTGACATGAAATCTAGGCTATTGCCTTCTTTTCATCCTCCATGCTCTGCATCTTGATTTGGCAAATCGCCAAAGAAGGAAAAGTTGCACAGAAGGTTTGAGTCAGCTCAATGAGTTTCCTTTCTTTCCCAGATTTTAGTTACTCAAATCTTGGCTGCTTTCATTGCCATCTGAACTTCCAAAGAGTTGCTTTTTGTATTTTATTCAGATCTTTGCGATTTTTTTTCACCTGGATAGTGTGTATGATACTGGCTAACTCAGCATAAAACCATGTGTGGTTATTTTTTCATCTTAAAAGCAAGTTACAAACTAAAGAAGTTACAAAGTGATCCAACCAAAGCCTTATTACTAATAATGGGTGGAAAGCCAAATCTAATCTACATGTTTCTATTATCCCAGAAATTAATACTTTTAAAAATTGTCCTGCATACCTCCAACTAGAAAACTACACTAGTATTTACTGCAGGAAATTTTGTTCCCTTGCTACATCACAGAATAACCTTAAAGACAAATCAAATATCTTAACTACAGTTATGGCTACTTAACAGAGTAACACCTTTGACAAACCATTAAATATCAATCCTTCAAAGTCTTGAGAGAAAAGAAAACACTATGCCAGATCTTAAAATAAAAACAAATAAATGAAATAGTGACTGTTGATTTATCAACATGATAAAAAGCTCTCATAAAATGAGGCATAGTGAAGATTTCCCATCACATTATATAAAACATAATATCATACCTTATAATAATATCTTATTTGAGAAATATTTTAAATATTGAGATTTTCTTACAAAATTTGGTAATTTGGTAGTTTAAAAAAACATACAACAAGGAACTCAGTAATTACACCAGCTAAAATGTTTATTTTTCCCTAACTTTCATGAACATACCTGCATTATAAGTATAACTCTGTTGGGTCCTCAGAACTCATTGAGCAATTGGGGCTTCACCACACAGCTCTAGCACAAGTTATCTCCAACCCCAGCAGTCTTCCAGTGTCCCATTTCTGATCTCACTTCTTTCCTTCTTACACAACTTACTACTTAAGTTATCCATCACCTGTTATTCCAGGGAACTAGGCTTCCTAAAAATCTATCATGAGAAACCATACAGACCAGCAGTTAACAGATCAATGTGTGTATGAATCTTGACTCTGCCCCTTTCTAGATGTATGAATGTAGATAAATTACACTACAGTTATTAGTCTCAGTTTCCTAATCTGTAAAATGGAAATAATAACATCTATCACACAGTATGAAATGGAGTGAGAAATGGAGCTAATATACATAAAGCAACCAGTATAGAATAAGGCTTGTAATTAACACCACAAATGATAATTATTTCATTTTGTTTTTTTTAATAAAAATATTTAGACACAAATTAATAATAAGTATGGTTTCTACCAAATGAGGAGATGGACTGTTCATTAATAATTACAGTGTTGTGTGCTATAACTCCAAAATGTGGCCAAACTGCAATAAAGATCATCACTTTGCTACACTCCTCAAAAAACTTTTAAGTGGCAACTATAATGGAAGAATGGATTTGATAACACTTGGTAACATTTGATTAATAAGATATTTGGTTTTCTATCATCTACACATCTCAGTAGATAGTGGTTGAACGCTTCAGCGAAGGTGTTCCCCAAGTGTCAGGCCCCCTGGAGATACTCGTTAAAATGCAAATCTTTAAGTCTCTCCTGAGAAGTCTTAAATCAGAATCTTTGGGGACGAGGACTAGGCATCTTCATGTTCACAAGCTCTCCAGGAAACTTTTTTATATAATATGGTTTGAGAACAACTGCTTTATTGTTAAGTAGGAAATAAACCTTGCAGTCCTTACTTCCTTATGCTCTTACATCACCCCAACCAGAGATATTGTGATAAAGTATATGTATTCAGGCATCAGTTATTGGAAAGAATCCAGGTGGGAAAATCACAAGTATAAAGTTATAATCTCAACCTTGAAGTTAGAAGGACTAGCTTGGCTGTAATATGGTGATAAATTCAGCTAGGTTGAAAATATTATTAACTCAATTATGAAAATATTATGTCAAGAAGATTGATGTACCCACATAGTTCTAACAACACTGTACATTCTTAACTTCCAGTGATTTTACCTTATGGATTAATCTAAGTGCAACACAAGTAATTTTAAATACTGAGCAATGTTAATACCTGTAAGCCCCCTGTCATCATCTATCATAGCATTCTACTCTCTTCCATTATAGTAGTTGCCATATTTCTATTACATGTTTTACAGTTTTTACAGTTGAATCTTTGTTTACTGATTATCTGCAAGGTCAGATTATCTGCTATACCATAGCAGACTCCTGTGTATTTTGGTCTGGACCCAAAGCCAGCAAACTGCTAAGCAGACCACAGATAATAAAATCTCTTGAATGAATAAAATGAGTATTTTTACACATTGAAAATTTTTATCGAAACTTAACCATAAAGTTGTAGCTTTTCCTCAAAATACATGACTTTAAAGATATTTGTGGTATTACAAATAAGGAGATCCAGTGGCATGTTGGTGAAAGTATGGACTTCGTAATCACAAGACTATGAATTTTAATTTCATGCCTATTGCTTTGGCTATGAGACCCATAGACAAATTATTTAACTATTCTTTCTCAGTTTCTTCATCCATGAAGCTTTTATAAACAAATAGAATATAAAGGACAATTAGATAAGTAGGAATTTCTCACAGATTCAGAAGGTAACAAAAATATAGGCTGTGGAAAGAAGCAGAGAACTTCTGGTTACGAGAGCACCAGCAAGTTTTCACTCCCATACTAGCTGTTCTTTACTCTCCAAATGACTTTTTATGGCAAACTGCAATGCAAGTAGATTGTATTTTTAGAAACCTCACAGATAAGCAATAAGTACTCACAGAGTGTTCAAATTCTTGAGTTTCTTGAAGGCACTCCCAGGAATTTCTCGTATTCTGTTAAACCTCAAGTCTCTGGAAACATAAAAAGAGGGAGAAAGATTATAATATGTGGATTCCAGTGGTGCTATTATTTCCAGAAACTTGAAAACTAATTATCCTTTTATAACCAAATTATGGCACTAAAGGACTAAACATAGACAGAATTAGGTACATTATGCATAATCATTAGGCAGGTACATTGTTTATAGCAGATTATGCACATCAGGAGCTATATGCTAGTCCAAAGGTGCCAGACACCTTTGGACTACTTACAGAGTTCTTCAAGGTGTTAAAGGCAGTTATACCATTTCCTTTAGGTTATATTTATATGGCACTAAAATAAATTCTATATATGGCAACATGCCAATTGAGCATAATTAATTTGGACAATATTGATAGATCAGATGTCACTTATCAATTCAACATAACACCATTACTTGAATTTAGGCAAAATTATTATTAATTAGTTAATTTTTCTTCATAGCCCAGGAATATAACAACCTTCTAAGGAAGTATTAAAACAAGTCAACAAAACAATTAGTGTAAGAGAGACAACCAACATTCTCTTTCATCAATTAATACATTATTTTATTCAGCATGTAAATTATTGAGTGCCAACTACATGCCACATATTGTGTTATGTAATAGGGACACAAAGATGTGCAATATATGGTCCCTGCTACTGAGCAGGCACAGTTGAATTGAGGATTACAAACAAATAATTACAGCACTAGTATATAAAGTATTAATGGTACAACAGAGTAACAAACAAAATGTTCTGCACAGATAGCCAACTTAGGTATTGGTCTGCCTAGACCCTCTCTATCAGTGAAAGAAGAACCCACTCTGCTGCCTATGATTTTGGTGGAAATGTTAATCAGGTGCTCTTCAAGAGGTGACTAAAGCCAGACATTAGTGTGTCAGAAGAACAAACACAAAAGGAAAAACAAAAAACAAAACATCTACTTCCCCTCAACTAATTTCTCAAAATAAAATTTTTCACCACCATAAAAAGGAGTTCTTGTTTAGAATATTTGATTCAAAAATCTTTGTAAGATTACCTCAAAATTCTATCATTTTATGTTTCTCTTGAGTTGACTTTGGAAGAATATGTACAATTTCATAGGAGCTTTTTCAATTAAAATCATTCAATTAAATCCTGACACCAAGAAATAAAAAAGATGCATGAAATTTTTTCAAAGGTATTCAATTAAAATAACTCAATGTGAATATACCTCTTTGTAAGATGGAATGCACTGCTTAAACATCATACATTGCTATTTGATGCATCTGTACTATATTTTTAAAAGAAACTTTATAAATGATGTGAAATTCTCACTATAAACATATAAGAGATAAAGTTACATAAATCCAAATACCCTAGACCCATGGTTTCCCTTCAACACAGTAGCTTTAAATTACAAAAAGGACTCTCCTCTCACATCAAACCATAAATCCTTATAGTCCTCCCAAACTGAGCTTCCAACAATATAAGAAGGGAGTAAATATAAAAGGATAAATCACTTTCCTTTTTTTAGGCTTTGAAATTTTTTAAAAATTCAGAAAAGTACAAATGAGAAAAGAATACTCTTTATTGTCCATATCCAGAATTAACAACTGTTTTCACTTGATACAGTTGCTTCTATTCATAGTTCCACACATTTTTGTTTTGATTACACAAATCACATATAAAAATATATTACAGGTAAAGTAAAAGTCTCTTTTAACCACTATCTTAATTTTAGCTATGTCTCCTTTTCCCTCATATAATCTCTCTCCTGAGTGTAATGCCTCTCTTCAGAAACACAAACATACACAGGGATATGAATAAATATAAGTAAAATGTATACATATAAAAATGTGAAAATAAACATAATACAGGTAAATATAAAATATTTAGTGTTTTTGAATTTACAAAAATGGTATTAAACTTTATATAGTTTTTTTTTTAATTTTTTTATTGTTATGTTAATCACCATATATTACATCATTAGTTTTTGATGCAGTGTTCCATGATTCATTGTTTGTTCATAACACCCAGTGCACCATGCAAAACGTGCCCTACTCAATACCCATCACCAGGCTAACCCATCCCCCCACCCCCCTACCCTCTAGAACCCTCAGTTTTTCAGAGTCCATCATGTCTCATGGTTCGTCTCCCCCTCTGACATACTCCCCTTTTCTTCCTCTCCTGTTATCTTCTTCTTTTCCTTTTTTCTTAAAATATGTTGCGTTATTTGTTTCAGAAGTACAGATCTGTGATTCAACAGTCTTGCACAATTCACAGCGCTCACCGTAGCACATACCCTCCCCAATGTCTATCACCCAGCCATCCCATCCCTCCCACCCCCAACCACTCCAGTAACACTCAGTTTGTTTCCTGAGATTAAGAATTCCTCATATCAGTGAGGTCATGTGATACATGTCTTTCTCTGATTGACTTATTTCACTCAGCATAACACCCTCCAGTTCCATCCACGTCGTTGCAAATGGCAAGATCTCATTCCTTTTGATGGCTGCATAATATTCCATTGTGTATATATACCACATCTTCTTTATCCATTCATCTGTCGATGGGCATCTTGGCTCTTTCCACAGTTTGGCTATTGTGGACATTGCTGCTATAAACATTGGGGTATACGTACCCCTTCGGGTCCCTACATTTGTATCTTTGTGGTAAATACCCAGTAGTGCAATTGCTGGATCGAACGGTAGCTCTAATTTCAACTGTTTGAGGAACCTCCATACTGTTTTCCAGAGTGGTTGCACCAGCTTGCATTCCCACCAACAGTGTAGGAGGGTTCCCCTTTCTCCACATCCCCGCCAACATCTGTCGTTCCCTGACTTGTTAATTTTAGCCATTCTGACGGGTGTGAGGTGGTATCTCATTGAGGTTTTGATTTGGATTTCCCTGATGCCGAGTGATGTTGAGCACTTTTTCATGTGCCTGTTGGCCATTTGGATGTCTTCTTTGGAGAAATGTCTCTTCATGTCTTCTGCCCATTTCTTGATTGGATTATTTGTTCTTTGGGTGTTGAGTTTGATAAGTTCTTTATAGATTTTGGATACTAGCCCTTTATCTGATATGTCGTTTGCAAATATTTTCTCCCATTCTGTCGGTTGTCTTTTGGTTTTGTGGACTGTTTCTTTTGCTGTGCAAAAGCTTTTTATCTTGATGAAATCCCAATAGTTCATTTTTGCCCTGGCTTCCCGTGCCTTTGGCGATGTTTCTAGGAAGAAGTTGCTGCGGCTAAGGTCGAAAAGGTTGCTACCTGTGTTCTCCTTTAGGATTTGGATGGACTCCTGTCTCACGTTTAGGTCTTTCAACCATTTGGAGTCTATTTTTGTGTGTGGTGTAAGGAAATGGTCCAGTTTCATTCTTCTGCATGTGGCTGTCCAATTTTCCCAACACCATTTGTTGAAGAGACTGTCTTTTTGCCATTGGACATTCTTTCCTGCTTTGTCAAAAATAAGTTGACCATAGAGTTGAGGGTCCATTTCTGGGCTCTCGATTCTGTTCCATTGATCTATGTGTCTGTTTTTGTGCCAGTACCATACTGTCTTGATGATGACAGCTTTGTAATAGAGCTGGAAGTCCGGAATTGTGATGCCGCCAGCTTTGCTTTTCTTTTTCAGTATTCCTCTGGCTATTCGGGGTCTCTTCTGGTTCCATACAAATTTTAGGATTATTTGTTCCATTTCTTTGAAAAAAGTGGATGGTATTTTGATGGGGATTGCATTGAATGTGTAGATTGCTCTAGGTAGCATTGACATCTTCACAATGTTGATTCTCCCAATCCATGAGCATGGAACGTTTTTCCATTTCTTTGTGTCTTCTTCAATTTCTTTCCTGAGTATTTTATAGTTTTCTGAGTACAGATCCTTTGCCTCTTTGGTTAGATTTATTCCTAGGTATCTAATGGTTTTGGGTGCAATTGTAAATGGGATAGACTCCTTGATTTGTCTCTCTTCTGTCTTGTTGTTGGTGTATAGGAATGCCACTGATTTCTGTGCATTGATTTTATATCCTGCTACTTTACTGAATTCCTGTATGAGTTCTAGCAGTTTTTGGGTGGAGTCTTTTGGGTTTTCCACATACAGTATCATATCATCTGCAAAGAGTGAGAGTTTGACTTCCTCTTTGCCGATTTGGATGCCTTTGATTTCTTTTTGTTGTCTGATTGCTGTGGCTAGGACTTCTAATACTATGTTGAATAGCAGTGGTGAGAGTGGACATCCCTGCCGCGTTCCTGACCTTAGGGGAAAGGCTCTCAGCCTTTCCCCATTGAGAATGATACTCGCTGTAGGTTTTTCATAGATGGCTTTTATGATATTGAGGTATGTACCCTCTATCCCTATACTCTGAAGAGTTTTGATCAAGAAAGGATGTTGTACTTTGTCAAATGCTTTTTCTGCATCTATTGAAAGGATCATATGATTCTTGTTCTTTCTTTTGTTAATGTATTGTATCACGTTGATTGATTTGCGGATGTTGAACCAGCCTTGCAGCCCAGGAATAAATCCCACTTGGTCATGGTGAATAATCCTTTTAATGTACTGTTGGATCCTATTGGCTAGTATTTTGGTGAGAATTTTTGCATCCATGTTCATCAAGGATATTGGTCTGTAATTCTCTTTTTTGATGGGGTCTTTGTCTGGTTTTGGGATCAAGGTAATGTTGGCCTCATAAAATGAGTTTGGAAGTTTCCCTTCCATTTCTATTTTTTGGAACAGTTTCAGGAGAATAGGTATTAATTCTTCTTGAAATGTCTGATAGAATTCCCCTGGGAAGCCATCTGGCCCTGGGCTTTTGTTTCTTGGGAGATTTTTGATGACTGTTTCAATTTCCTTAGTGGTTATAGGTCTGTTCAGGTTTTCTATTTCTTCCTGGTTCAATTTTGGTAGTTGATACATCTCTAGGAATGCACCCATTTCTTCCAGGTTCTCTAATTTGCTGGCATAGAGTTGCTCATAATATGTTCTTATAATTGTTTGTATTTCTTTGGTGTTGGTTGTGATCTCTCCTCTTTCAT